ACTCACTCCTCACAACATTGCTAATAGGAAATTAGAGAAAAGGAGGATTCCTTGTGTTTCGTATGTGGCACGTAGAAGGTAATCCCAGAGTAGTAGAATGAATGAGACGTACATGGAAGATCATGCAGAAGTGGCTTCTTGGTAAGAACTTGTAGGGCAGTCAGATGATACACAGTGACACCCCCCCCCCCGTCTGTGATCTCAGCTTGCCGTGCCCTCCCCCCCGTCTGTGATCTCAGCTTGCCGTGTCCTCCCCCCCGTCTGTGATCTCAGCTTGCCGTGCCCTCTCCCCCCCCCACCCCGTCTGTGATCTCAGCTTGCCGTGTCCCTCCCCCCCGTCTGTGATCTCAGCTTGCCGTGCCCTCTCCCCCCCCATCTGTGATCTCAGCTTGCCGTGCCCTTCCCTCCCCGTCTGTGATCTCAGCTTGCCGTGCCCTCTCCCCCGTCTGTGATCTCAGCTTGCCGTGCCCTCTCCCCCCCCATCTGTGATCTCAGCTTGCCGTGCCCTTCCCTCCCCGTCTGTGATCTCAGCTTGCCGTGCCCTCTCCCCCCCCGTCTGTGATCTCAGCTTGCCGTGCCCTCCCCCCCGTCTGTGATCTCAGCTTGCCGTGCCCTCCCCCCCCGTCTGTGATCTCAGCTTGCCGTGCCCTCTCCCCCCTCCCCGTCTGTGATCTCAGCTTGCCGTGCCCTCTCCCCCCCCCCATCTGTGATCTCAGCTTGCCGTGTCCTCTCCCCCCCCCATCTGTGATCTCAGCTTGCCGTGCCCTCCCCCCCCGTCTGTGATCTCAGCTTGCCGTGCCCTCTCCCCCCCCATCTGTGATCTCAGCTTGCCGTGCCCTTCCCTCCCCGTCTGTGATCTCAGCTTGCCGTGCCCTCTCCCCCGTCTGTGATCTCAGCTTGCCGTGTCCTCCCCCCCGTCTGTGATCTCAGCTTGCCGTGCCCTCTCCCCCCTCCCCGTCTGTGATCTCAGCTTGCCGTGCCCTTCCCCCCCCGTCTGTGATCTCAGCTTGCCGTGCCCTCTCCCCCCCCGTCTGTGATCTCAGCTTGCCGTGCCCTCTCCCCCCCGTCTGTGATCTCAGCTTGCCGTGCCCTCTCCCCCCTCCCCGTCTGTGATCTCAGCTTGCCGTGCCCTCTCCCCCCTCCCGTCTGTGATCTCAGCTTGCCGTGCCCTCCCCCCCGTCTGTGATCTCAGCTTGCCGTGCCCTCTCCCCCCGTCTGTGATCTCAGCTTGCCGTGCCCTCTCCCCCCTCCCCGTCTGTGATCTCAGCTTGCCGTGCCCTCCCCCCCGTCTGTGATCTCAGCTTGCCGTGCCCTCTTCCCCCCGTCTGTGATCTCAGCTTGCCGTGCCCTCTCCCCCACCGGCTGTGATCTCAGCTTGCCGTGCCCTCTCCCCCACCCCGTCTGTGATCTCAGCTTGCCGTGCCCTCTCCCCACCCCGTCTGTGATCTCAGGGCCGTTGTAGCTTGCCGTGCCCTCCCCCCCGTCTGTGATCTCAGCTTGCCGTGCCCTCCCCCCCGTCTGTGATCTCAGCTTGCCGTGCCCTCCCCCCCGTCTGTGATCTCAGCTTGCCGTGCCCTCCCCCCCCCCGTCTGTGATCTCAGCTTGCCGTGCCCTCCCCCCCCCGTCTGTGATCTCAGCTTGCCGTGCCCTCTCCCCCCCCCCGTCTGTGATCTCAGCTTGCCGTGCCCTCCCCCCCGTCTGTGATCTCAGCTTGCCGTGCCTCTCCCCCCCCGTCTGTGATCTCAGCTTGCCGTGCCCTCCCCCCCCGTCTGTGATCTCAGCTTGCCGTGCCTCTCCCCCCCCGTCTGTGATCTCAGCTTGCCGTGCCCTCCCCCCCGTCTGTGATCTCAGCTTGCCGTGCCCTCCCCCCCGTCTGTGATCTCAGCTTGCCGTGCCCTCCCCCCCGTCTGTGATCTCAGCTTGCCGTGCCCTCTCCCCCCCCATCTGTGATCTCAGCTTGCCGTGCCCTTCCCCCCCCCCCCGTCTGTGATCTCAGCTTGCCGTGCCCTTCCCCCGCCCCGTCTGTGATCTCAGCTTGCCGTGCCCTTCCCCCCCCCCGTCTGTGATCTCAGCTTGCCGTGCCCTCCCCCCCCAATCTGTGATCTCAGCTTGCCGTGCCCTCCCCCCCCCAATCTGTGATCTCAGCTTGCCGTGTCCTCCCCCCCCCAATCTGTGATCTCAGCTTGCCGTGCCCTCCCCCCCCCCGTCTGTGATCTCAGCTTGCCGTGTCCTCCCCCCCGTCTGTGATCTCAGCTTGCCGTGCCCTCTCCCCCCCTCCCCGTCTGTGATCTCAGCTTGCCGTGCCCTTCCCCCCCCGTCTGTGATCTCAGCTTGCCGTGCCCTCTCCCCCCCCGTCTGTGATCTCAGCTTGCCGTGCCCTCCCCCCCCCCGTCTGTGATCTCAGCTTGCCGTGCCCTCTCCCCCCTCCCCGTCTGTGATCTCAGCTTGCCGTGCCCTCTCCCCCCTCCCGTCTGTGATCTCAGCTTGCCGTGCCCTCCCCCCCGTCTGTGATCTCAGCTTGCCGTGCCCTCTCCCCCCGTCTGTGATCTCAGCTTGCCGTGCCCTCTCCCCCCTCCCCGTCTGTGATCTCAGCTTGCCGTGCCCTCCCCCCCGTCTGTGATCTCAGCTTGCCGTGCCCTCTCCCCCCGTCTGTGATCTCAGCTTGCCGTGCCCTCTCCCCCCCGGTCTGTGATCTCAGCTTGCCGTGCCCTCTCCCCCACCCCGTCTGTGATCTCAGCTTGCCGTGCCCTCCCCCCCGTCTGTGATCTCAGCTTGCCGTGCCCTCCCCCCCGTCTGTGATCTCAGCTTGCCGTGCCCTCTCCCCCCCCGTCTGTGATCTCAGCTTGCCGTGCCCTCTCCCCCCCGTCTGTGATCTCAGCTTGCCGTGCCCTCTCCCCCCCCGTCTGTGATCTCAGCTTCCATGCCAGCCAGAGTGAGGGGAAGACTGCCCGGTCCCAGGAGTGCTGCGCTGAGTGGCCTCGCCGGGCCCTCACAGCTCTCTGCTGTCCGCATTCCGCTAGTGCGTGGGTTTGCCCAGGTCCCTGTCCCAGCCCCAGACGCTGCGCTCGTGCGCACGTGGCCTCCTGGCCCCCAGGCTGCCCCGCTTCCCTCAGCAGCATTGACACACTGTGACCGTGTCTGGATTTCCTTTTTTTTACTTTTGCCCTTTTCTAAATATAACGATTTGATTTTAGCCCAGCTTGAATGCTTTAAAAATTGTCCCACAGTTTCAAGGAGAGTGTTTGGGCTAGAAAGCATGTGGGTTGTGAACAGGTGTGTGCTGCTGCTTACACACCAGTGTGTGACGCTGTGGAAGCTGGTCCCATCGTTGTGTGTGAAGAGTGGTGGTCTGCTGACTTCTGAGAGTCGTGTTGTGACTGCCCATTGTTGGGGCAGTGTGCCCAGTCCCCGTCCCAGCACACAGCCAGATGTGCACAGCCCATCGTTAGGGCAGTGTGCCCTCCCCCGTCCCAGCACACAGCCAGATGTGCACAGACCATCGTTAGGACAGTGAGCCCTCCCCCGTCCCAGCACACAGCCAGATGTGCACAGCCCATTGTTAGGGCAGTGTGCCCTCCCCCGTCCCAGCACACAGCCAGATGTGCACAGCCCATTGTTAGGGCAGTGTGCCCTCCCCCGTCCCAGCACACAGCCAGATGTGCACAGACCATCGTTAGGGCAGTGTGCCCTCCCCCGTCCCAGCACACAGCCAGATGTGCACAGACCATCGTTAGGGCAGTGTGCCCTCCCCCGTCCCAGCACACAGCCAGATGTGCACAGCCCTGGCTCTGACACTGCTGCAGCAGACTCTTGCCTCCTGTGCCTATTCCAGAGCAGTGCCTGCATGGCTGCCTGGCTGTCTACTTGACAGATAGAAAAATCTGCTTATTGAGACGGACAGCATGCCCACCTACTGTTCACTCCGTGAACGCTGTGCCGCGCCAAGGCAAAGCCAGGCTCCTAATTACTAGAGTCGTCACTGAGTTAAGCTGTCCATGCCCTGAGTTCCCTGGGTTTCGGTACTGGCTCCAGCTCCTAATTCTAGCTTCCGGCCGGCGGACCCTTGGAGGCGGCAGGGCGTGCCTCACGTGGTCAGGTTCCTGGCACCCACCCGCCTGGCATTGCAGGCATCTGGAGAGTGAACCCTGGCCCTGCCCCTCAAATCAAGAAAAGAAAAGAAAGAGCAGGGGTCCAGTGGCTCCTTGCCGGATTAGTGAGTGGTGCACCGTGGCGTGTGCGGCAGAGAGCGGCCGCCGCCCGAGCGCATGGCGGAGGACTCGCTGTGCACACCGTCAGCCTCCGAGGGCTCCGCAGGGTTTTGAAATTGGGTGTTAAGTGGCGTGTTGACAAACAAGGTTGATGTTTTTTTCATATTGTTAGATCATCTTAAATGCAATTTAATTAATTCAGGCTAGCCCACAGCCTGGGCTAGCCTGAATCTAAGTGGAATGGGGCTGGAAGTTGGGGGCTGTTGTGGGTCCGGAGCTGATGGAGGTGCAGCCCCAGGTCCTGATACGCACAGTGCCTTCTCCCCACTCTGCGGGTGCTGCTCGCCGTGAGTGCTGGGGTGAGCAGAGCACACTGGGGGACTCTCTAGATGAGCTGCAGTCGTCCACGTGAGATCTTAACTTGCTTGTGAGCACTCCTGTTCATGGTCCCAGAGTATCTTGTGCTGGTGTTTTGTTGTGAAGATTTATTTTATTTATTGGAAAGGCAGAGCTAGAGAGAGGGAGACAGAGAAAGGTCTTCATCCGCTGGCTCACTCCCCCGATGGCCGCAGCGTCCAGGGCTGGCCGGGCCGGAGCCAGGAGCCAGGAGCTTCTTGTCTGACCTGGCGCTCCCTGCAGTCCTTGCTCTCCCGAGCGCCCATCCCACCTCAGCCCCGCAGGCAGGGACACCCCAGGCGTCTGGTGCAGAAATGCAGTGGGTGCTGGGTGCTGGGTGGGGGGGGGGTTCCCGCTGTAGCACCTGCGCATTCATCGAACTCTCTTTTCCCGTAGACTGGAAACCAACACATATATCAGCCCGTGGGTAAACCAGGTAAGCGAGCGAATGAATTGTACGTCAGACATCTGTGCTTCGATAGAGCAAGCCTGAAACGTGGAATCGTGGCTTTGGGACTAGCTCATGAGGGTTTGTTCATGTTACTGTTTGAGTGGTAGAGAAGAGCTCTCCCTCCACTGGTTCACTCCCCAAATGGCCGAGAGCTGGAAGCTGAATCTGAGTTTCCCACGTGGCTAGCAGGCACCCTTCTACGTAGGCCACCTCTTGTTGCCTCCCGGGTGCACGTGAGCAGGAAGCTGAAATCAGAAGTGGGACCAGGACTCCGACCACAGGATCTTCACTGTTAGGCCACGTGCCCACCCCTCTACAGACCACAGCGAGTGTGGTGTTGACCGCCTCTCACCCACGGGTAGGGTAGTGGAAAGCAGCGGTCGTTGCTGGTATGCATCAGAAACGCCTCCTTGGACTAATGCAGGGTTAGGGTCCGTTGTAATCGTGTTGACGTATTGATTTGTTGAGGAGTTACCTGCTTTCTGTTGATCAATATGTGTTACTTAATGGACGTCATTCCGTTTTACCAGATCCTGCAGCTCCACCAAAGAAACCGCCACGCCCCGGAGCCCCTGGTCACCTGGGCAGCCTTGCCAGCCTCAGCAGCCCTGGGGACAGTTACAACGAGGGCGTTAAGGTGGGCATCTAAACCCTGATACAAACTCCTCTCCTGGGGTTTGCAGCGTCCCTTGGCAGACAGGGTGGGACTGTAGTGGTTGGCCGGCGTCCCTGGCCTGGTTGCAGGCCCTGAGAGTCAGTGAACGTTCTCCTCCCTGCCTCTCTGCGTGATAGATTTGGCGGAGCTCTGTCACACCCCCCTTTCTCGGTACGTCTTCCCGAGACTGCGTCCAGCTTTGTAAGTCAGCTAACACAGGTTCCTCGGGTGGCAGGGACCTTCCGTGGCCACCGTCTCAGAATCTGTAAACAGGACTTCCAGCAGCTCTTCATGAGTGTGTCCAGCCTCAGAACTGCATGTGTAAACGCTGCCTGTCATGAGCGAAGCTTCCTCCAGCCCGCGGGAGCAGCCTCCAGCGTCCCCTGGGAACTGCCCCGCTGCAGGCGTCCCTGCTGGGGACTGCCCCGGGAGCGCTTACGAGAGGGAAAGGAGGCCCCGCTGCTGCGCCTGGCTCGGTCAGAGCCGGCACCTCTCACCTTCCCCTGGAGAACCAATCGCCTCTCAGGATACTTGCGATCTTTCACATTTACTGTCCCTAAAATTGGGTGAGGCCCTGGTTTCCTTAGCAGTGTTCTCTGTTCCTAGTGAGGCACGTGATTAGAAGTAGCTCCCTCGCTGTCTCAGGATCTGACAGCTGTTCTTCCTGTTTGAGAAAGAGAAAGTGTCCTGTGCCGGCCTGGAGTGATAGTCGGCCTGCAGTCCGGAGGGTGAGGACCAGGAAGTGAACACCCGAGTCTGGCTCAGACCCCCCTGCTCACCAGGGGGTGTCGTGCAGGGACAGATGTCCCTCCACGCCCAGGGCCGGGCTAGCAGTTGACAGCTCCCGGACATCCGGGCCACTTGCTAGGACTCCCAGAGACTGCTAGCAACATGCTGGGTGTTCCCACCCTCGGCCCTGGCTAAGTAGCTCAAGAATGAGAAAGACAAGGGCGAGGGTTAGACTGATGAGCTGTTCCCGTTTGCTTCAGCCCCGAGTGCAGATGCCCAGGGTGGCCACGTGCAGCCAGATCTTTTTTTTTTAACTTTTATTTAATGAGTATAAATTTCCCAAGTACAGCTTATGGATTACAATGGCTTCCCCCCCATAACTTCCCTCCCACCCGCAACCCTCCCATCTCCCGCTCCCTCTCCCATTCCATTCACACCAAGATTCATTTTCAATTATCTTTATAAACAAAAGATCAGTTTAGTATATATTAAGTAAAGATTTCATCAGTTTGCACCCACACAGAAACACAAAGTGTAAAGTACTGTTTGAGTACTAGTTATAGCATTAATTCACATTGAACAACACATTAAGGACAGAGATCCTACATGAGGAGTAAGTGCACAGTGACTTCTGTTGTTGATTTAACAATTGACACTCTTGTTTATGGCATCAGTAATCACCCGAAGCTCTTGTCATGAGTTGCCGAGGCTACGGAAACTTTTGAGTTCGCCAACTCCGATCTTATTTAGACAAGGCCATAGTCAAAGTAGAAGTTCTCTCCTCCCTTCAGAGAAAGGTGCCTCCTTCTTTGATGGCCCATTCTTTTCGCTGGGATCTCACTCGCAGAGACCTTTCATTTAGGTTTTTTTTTGTTGGTTTTTTTTTGTTGTTGTTGTTCTTGTTTTTGTTTTTTGGCCAGAGTGTCTTCAGCCAGATCTTAAGAGATGAGGGGCTGGGCACCCCCTTGGAGCTCTGACATAGGTCCATTTCACAATTGTGGAGTGTCACAGTAAATAAATGTCATTTTTTTTAAGGTTTATTTATATATTTGAAAGACAGAAATGGAGAGAGAGAAGGAGGGAGAGGGAAAGAGATTTTCCATCTACTGATTCACTTTCCAAATGGCTGCGACAGCCAGGGCTGGGCCAGACCAAAGCCAGGAGCTTCCTCCAGGTCTCCCACGTGGATGAAAGGGCCCAAGGACCTGGGCCATCTCTGCTTTCCCAGGTCCACTAGCAGGCAGCTGGATCCGAAGTGGAGCAGCCAGGACCCAAACCGGCACCCACATGGGGTGCCAGGACTGCAGGTGGAGCCTAGGCCTCCCCAGCCGAGTGCTGGCCCATAAATGTGTGTGCTGGAGTATGGGAAACAGCTCGATGCAGACCGCTAGGGACCTGGTTCAAGAAGCAGTCAGTGTGAAGCACCTGCGGAGTCCTTTCACCAGCCTGCAAGAGCATGTTCTTTCAGATAGAGACGCCCACCTGTAAGCATGGCTGACCGCAGGACTTCATCCGCGCAGCGTTCAGCCGGAATTTCGGTCTGCATTTCTCCTTGACGGCTTACGTCCTGCTTCTTCATTTTCCGAGTCTTTGACCATCACCTAAGTGGTTGCGGTCGCCCAACCTGGAGAGGGCGGTGGTTTGCCTCTGCCAGCCATGGAGTTTCCAAATTGCCACGCTGGAGAAAGTAGGAAACAAAAGCAGATGTCTTTGTATATGAAGCTTCTGCTGCTGGAAGGTCCTCGTGTATGGCCCCTGGGAGCACCATGCAGGCCCCTTCTGAGACAAGAGCTGGGCGGAGGGTGGAGTACAAACGGATAGATGCTTTATCCAGGCCGCTCTCAGCCTGCTTCCACATTGGAGCCGTGGGCTCCTGCTGTTTCTTCTTGGTGAGCTTCCCCTTGGCCCCCTCTGCAGGAGACACTTCCTGTTTGTGCTGGAGTTTGGACTGGCGTGGCCACGACCCCGCGCAGGGACCTGCACCTCAGTCTGACTGCAGAAGATAAGATACAGGGACTCAGCTCTCAGACGCGATGCAGTTAGGAGTTGCCTCCCTCTTCCTACCAAGTTCTGCCAAACTTGTATAGGCAAGGGCGCGCCTTCTTTCAGACAATTCCAAGGAAAGAAAAGATACTCCAGTTTCCCCAGTCCACTCTGCCTGTTGGTTACAGTGGGACAGCTGTGGTTTGAACAGTAGAGAAGCAACCTAACTCTACTTAGTTTAAAGTGATAGAGCCTAACCGTAAGGTTGGTTCAGAAGAGGGGCTTTGGTTTCGTTTTGTTTGTTTTTACAAGAAGCTCCTGATGTCTTCAGACACAGCCTGAGCCAGACATCTCAGTTGTGCCAGTGTGGCGAGGGGCCCGAGCAGACTGGCAGAGATGTGGAGGCCCGGGGCAGGGGCCTGGGGCCTGAGGGCTGCGCCCCCGCTCCGCGTCTCCGGGAAGGCAGATGGGCAGGTGTCACGTCCGCCCTGCCTGGGCAGAGCCCCCATTCTGTTGACTCTCACGCTGCTGCCACGTCGTCCCTCCCGGGCTTTGCATGCTGTCGCCCTCGTGGGTGCCGCGAGAATGAGCTTGGTGCATGGCGGGCCTGCTTCCTGAATGTGCGGGGCTCTGGAGGAAGACAGCGGCGAGCGTGCTTGTGGCCGTGACTGAGAGCTAGCGGGCGGGCTGTGAGACAAGCTCCCTCTGTGTCGCTCAGTGTTTGTCAGGGTGGGGGGTGTCTGCCGCCTTCATTAATATTGTTTTTCTTTTTTCCCTTTCTCTGATAAATTCCTCTAACTTTTGCTCACCTTCCGTTCGACAATAGCCGTGGAGGGTAAGCACATCGTGTCTGTATGTCTGTCCAGCTCTCTCCTGCACCCAGCTCTGCATGCCGTTCTGGGGAAGCCGGTGGGAGGGCGTTTGTGCTGGGTGCGTTGACAGCCAGATGCCAGCACCAGCGTTGGTGTTTGCCAAAGCCTGACACACGAGCATCTTCACAGTGAATGAGCTGTTGTCCTTTCCTGCCTCATGCTCAGACTCTGGACCAACCAAAGACAGAAGCAACCTGTTCAGACCACCTGGGCAAAGCCCCAAGGGTTTGCAACAGGCACTTGCCATTTTAGGCTGCCCGTCGGCAGCCAAATCGAGGTAGAACACCGTTAGGATGTACAGTTTGGCCCTTTCAAAGAAATACTGCACCTTTTTTGTGCCTCATGTAATTCTGATCAATTTGAATTTTTAAATACTGCCAGTGACCTTGGATGTCCGTGAAACTCTGCCTTTGGTGCCCCAGTTGCCCTCTGAGCTCATTGACACCTGTGGCCTCCTCACCCCCTTCATCCCTCTTGCCCAGGTGAGGCAGCTGAGCTGCAGTCAGCAGCCAGCACAGTGGTGGCTGGAGCCCGGCCAGGGCAGGAGGCTCCTGGCTGTCCCCACGCCAGGGCTTTAGTGGCATCTGCAAGCCTGGCGTCCACTTAGAGCAGACTCGGCGTGCCGGCTTTCTATAATTCTACGAGAACACACGTTTCCATTTCATGGTTTGAGGGCAGCTGAGCCACAGTTTGTACTGCGGAATTCAAACTACATGGAAATTCTTAGTCTTAATGTAGGGTATTTGACCATTTAGCCAAGTAAGTAACTTTCTCCAAAATTCAGTTAATTCTCAGAGTTATAAAATCAATGGCTCGTTTCTCTGGTGGTAAATGATTTTGGGGTTGGGAACATCAAATCACTTTGCTGAAGGAATCAGGATTTTAGCATAATATGTGATTCCGTCTCGTTTCCTTTAACTGAGCTCAAAGTTAGAAAAAACTATGGCTTCGTTTATTCGTTGCTTGGATGAATTGCTTTACTATCATCCTCAAGCTAAACTGTATCCCGTACAAACGAGAACACCAGTTATCTGCTTTGATCTCTTTTAAAGACCCTCTCTAACTTAACTGCGGTGACGTCACACCATCTGCCGACGAGCAGAGAAGTGACCAGCTTCTGTGTTGTCAGCTTCAGCCCCAGGAGATCAGCCCCCCTCCTACTGCCAACCTGGACCGGTCCAACGACAAGGTGTACGAGAACGTGACAGGCCTGGTGAAGGCTGTCATCGAGATGTCCAGCAGGATCCAGCCGGCCCCGCCGGAGGAGTACGTGCCCATGGTGAAGGTAAAGAGCCCGGCCCCGTGACGAGCAGCAGCGTGGGGCCCGTTTCCCGCGCAGGCAGTGGGACCCACTGATGGGGGCGTCAGGGCGCTCCCCACGTCAGACCTGCCGCTGTAGAGCTGTCTTCACAGAAGCCGCGTGGAGGCAGTGCGAGGGCTTGATCTCGCGGGAGACGGCGGCATGGCGCCCCCTGGAGGCAGGGCAGTCCACACGCCAGAGCTCGGAAGTGCAGTGTGTGGGAACAGAGCCAGGACTCAAACGCGGGCCTCTGATGCAGGGTGTGGGTGTCCCAGTGTCATCGCAGCCACTGCATCAAACAGCCAGCTGGCAGCCATGTACCCACCCCTCGGCTTAAGGAAGGCAGCGCGGGAGCCCCTGTCCCCATGTACCTTCCTCTGACTGCCCTTCCCCGAAGGGATGGTGTCAGGAGTGCAGAATCATCGTTCCCACTTGGGTCTTTGTACTCTCCCAGTGTGGCTCCCTGAGTCCCTCACGGGATTACTTGGCGTGCTTCCACGCTGGGAGCGTCCCTGGAGCGTCCCTGGAGGACAGACGCTGCGTGGGCGGGGCTGGCCCAGCGTGGGAGAAGGCTTCCCACTCTGCCACCGGTGGGATTCCTGTCGCTTGCACCTGTGTTCGTCAGCCCATTCCTCAGGGACTGGCGTGAGGCCTGCCAGCTCTGGGTCTGCGGGGAAGGAGTGAGGGCTTCGACCTTACAAGTTAGGGCTCAGCGCCAGCAAGAGTGGATTCGCCTGAAGACTGGCGGAAGCGGGGCAGGCCTTCGCACGGCAGTTAAGATCCCACTTGGGACGCCCATCCCCCGTGGGCGGGCCTGGGTGCTCAGTCCCAGCTCCCTGGGGGGCCGCAGGTGATGGCGCGAGTACCTGGGTCCCTGCTCCCTACGTGAGAGACCTGGAAGAGTTCAGGACTCCCAGCTCACACTTGGCCTGGCTGTTGCTGTGCAGGTATCTTGTGAGTGAATCTGTGGATGGATGATTCTCTCTCTGACTCTCTCTCTCTGCCTTTCAAACAAAATAAAAATAAACAAATCGGGGGCCAGCATTGTGGCATAGTAGGCTAAGCCTCCGCCTAGGATGCCAGCATCCCATATGGACGCTGGTTCGGAACCTGGCTGCTCCTCTTCTGATCCAGCTCTCTGCTACGGCCTGGGAAAGCAGTGGAAGATGGACCAAGTGCTTGGGCCCCTGCACCCACGTGGGAGATCCGGAAGAAGCTTCTGGCTTCTGGCTTCGGATCTGCCAAGCTCCTGCCATTGCAGCCATCTGGGGAGTGAACCAGCCGATGGAAGACCCTTCTCTCTGTCTCTCCCTCTCCCTGTAGCACTCCCTCTCAAATAAATAAATGGAAAAAAAGCTAAAAGCCGGACGAAAGGAAACAAAGCTATGTCATGGAAAGGGAACATGACCACATTGGCTTTTGTCTTGCTGTTTGCACTGATTGTGGTTCTTGTCTGGTAGGAAGTCGGCCTGGCCCTGAGGACATTGTTGGCCACTGTGGATGAGACCATCCCTGTCCTCCCGACCAGCACACACCGAGAGGTAGGCACGTTCCGGGAGGTGCTGATGACAGTGTTCAGTCTGTGACCTGCAGACGCCGGCTGTGGCTGCTCTGTGGCTGATGGCCTTCTCCCCGCTGTGACGCCTGCCGCTACCTGGCCACTCACGGCAGAGCCTGCAGGCGCTCAGGTCCCACGTCCCGGCTCTGCTGCTGCCGGCCAGCTGGAGCCGCACTAAAATGCCGGGTGGCTGTGCGTGGTGCATCAGGACACAGGTGGGAGGCGCTGTTGGGTCTGTGGTCCCAGACGTGATCTCAAGCTCTTCAAAACACTGGTTTGCAATGATGCTGGTTTCCCATTGAAAGCGGTAATATAAGAATTCCTTTTAAATTATAAGCATATTTAAATTGTCTCCTAAGGAACCCGAGTTCAGTGACGATACTGTGTCCCGGCCACCACCATCCCTGCCGCCCTGTGGCGATTTTGCCCTGCTTACGTGACTGACAAATGAGGGGAGCACCTGCGTTTCCTCCCCCTGTGGGAGGGCCCCGTTCTGTGGTTGGGGTCGACGTCCATGTGTGTGACTTCTGCGTGTGAGGTGTGTCCCTTTCAGAGCAGCGCCCAGGGCCTGGCCTGGCCCGGCCCCCGCCTCATGCCTCCTCTCTCCACCCAGCGCCATGTCCCCCTGTCCCCAAGCATTGCCCTTTGGCCCAGTGCGGAGTATCTTCCTTGTTTTGAATTCATTTCAGATGTACAGAAAAACTGAGATTCATGCAGAGGATAAGCAGATGCCCTTTACCCAGGTTCCAGAACCTTTGTCACTGTCCTCACGCATAGCCCTGTGTCTCAGGCACTGTCCTCACGCATAGCCCTGTGTCTCAGGCGTGTCCTCACGCATAGCCCTGTGTCTCAGGCGTGTCCTCACGCATAGCCCTGTGTCTCAGGCGTGTCCCCGCCCGCACACGCCACGGCCTGCTTCACCCTTTGAAGAGCAGGTCCTGTGTACCGTGCAACGTTGCGGTGGCATCTGAGTTGACAGGGCCACTCGTGCGTAAGCACCGTATGGCTGTAGCGTTCTGGAAGCTTCCATCAGCGTAGTTTGTTTTCCTGCTCCGTGGGTCAGGTTCTGTCTTGGTGCTTTTCCTCCAGTGTGAGAGCAGCCAGGGCCACGCCTCACGCGTCACTTAGGCCTTGCCTCCCCTGGGACAGTCCCCCAGCCTGTGTTGTCTCTAAGGACGTTCACGTGACATTCTTGGTCTACAAAATTGGCGTTTACACCTGATGAGACTGAGGCTTTGCGTCTGCAGCAGGAACGTGCGCGGTGAGGCGGACTCCCGCGCTGGGCCTGCATCTGCCCCGGTGCGTGCGTTCTGCTGAGTCAGGCGTTGCCGCTAAAGAACTGGAGGACACGGCTGCTGGGGGCTGCTCTTTGGCGGATGCACAAAGCCACTTAAATCATTTTGGAAAATGCCTCTGACATTTGCCACAGGATAACTTTAAATTCTTGGCCAACTGGGAGATTGCTAGCTTCACTGGGACTCGGATTGCCTTTCTCTGACGAGCAACAGCTTTGCCAAAAAGTGAAGTTTTATATACCAGAGGCAAGAAGATGGCGTCCTAGCCTGTGGGTAGCTCGGCAGAGCTGTTTGCCAGCACCGGCCCAGCCCCAGCAGAACTGCACACTGCTCACCACCCTGCAGCCCAGCCCAGCCCAGCCCAGCAGAACTGCACACTGCTCACCTCCCTGCAGCCCAGCCCTGCCCAGCCCAGCCCAGCCCAGCAGAACTACACACTGCTCACCTCCCTGCAGCCCAGCCCAGCCCAGCCCAGCCCAGCCCAGCCCAGCAGAACTGCACACTGCTCACCACCCTGCAGCCCAGCCCAGCCCAGCCCAGCCCAGCCCAGCCCAGCAGAACTGCACACTGCTCACTACCCTGCAGCCCTGCCCAGCCCAGCCCAGCAGAACTGCACACTGCTCACCTCCCTGCAGCCCAGCCCAGCCCAGCCCAGCCCAGCCCAGCCCAGCAGAACTGCACACTGCTCACTACCCTGCAGCCCTGCCCAGCCCAGCCCAGCAGAACTGCACACTGCTCACCGCCCTGCAGCCCAGCCCAGCCCAGCCCAGCCCCAGCAGAACTGCACACTGCTCACTGCCCTGCAGCCCAGCCCAGCCCAGCCCAGCCCAGCCCAGCCCAGCCCAGCAGAACTGCACACTGCTCACCGCCCTGCAGCCCAGCCCTGCCCAGCCCAGCAGAACTGCACACTGCTCACCACCCTGCAGCCCAGCCCAGCCCAGCCCAGCAGAACTGCACACTGCTCACCACCCTGCAGCCCAGCCCAGCCCAGCCCAGCAGAACTGCACACTGCTCACCACCCTGCAGCCCTGCCCAGCCCAGCCCAGCCCAGCAGAACTGCACACTGCTCACCACCCTGCAGCCCTGCCCAGCCCAGCCCAGCCCCAGCAGAACTGCACACTGCTCACCACCCTGCAGCCCAGCCCAGCCCAGCCCAGCCCAGCCCCAGCAGAACTGCACACTGCTCACCGCCCTGCAGCCCTGCCCAGCCCAGCCCAGCAGAACTGCACACTGCTCACCACCCTGCAGCCCAGCCCAGCCCAGCCCAGCCCAGCCCAGCAGAACTGCACACTGCTCACCGCCCTGCAGCCCAGCCCTGCCCAGCCCAGCAGAACTGCACACTGCTCACCGCCCTGCAGCCCAGCCCTGCCCAGCCCAGCAGAACTGCACACTGCTCACCACCCTGCAGCCCAGCCCAGCCCAGCCCAGCAGAACTGCACACTGCTCACCACCCTGCAGCCCAGCCCAGCCCAGCCCAGCAGAACTGCACACTGCTCACCACCCTGCAGCCCTGCCCAGCCCAGCCCAGCCCAGCAGAACTGCACACTGCTCACCACCCTGCAGCCCAGCCCAGCCCAGCCCAGCCCAGCAGAACTGCACACTGCTCACCGCCCTGCAGCCCAGCCCAGCCCCTGCAGAACTGCACACTGCTCACCACCCTGCAGCCCAGCCCAGCCCAGCAGAACTGCACACTGCTCAGCGCCCTGCAGCCCAGCCCAGCCCAGCAGAACTGCACACTGCTCACCACCCTGCAGCCCAGCCCAGCCCAGCAGAACTGCACACTGCTCACCACCCTGCAGCCCAGCCCAGCCCAGCCCAGCCCAGCCCCAGCAGAACTGCACACTGCTCACCACCCTGCAGCCCAGCCCTGCCCAGCCCAGCCCAGCAGAACTGCACACTGCTCACCACCCTGCAGCCCAGCCCAGCCCAGCCCAGCCCTGCAGAACTGCACACTGCTCACCACCCTGCAGCCCAGCCCAGCCCCAGCCCAGCCCAGCAGAACTGCACACTGCTCACCACCCTGCAGCCCAGCCCAGCCCCAGCCCAGCCCCTGCAGAACTGCACACTGCTCACCTCCCTGCAACCCAGCCCAGCCCAGCAGAACTGCACACTGCTCACCGCCCTGCAGCCCAGCCCAGCCCAGCCCAGCAGAACTGCACACTGCTCACCTCCCTGCAGCCCAGCCCTGCCCAGCCCAGCCCAGCAGAACTGCACACTGCTCACCACCCTGCAGCCCAGCCCAGCCCAGCCCAGCAGAACTGCACACTGCTCACCACCCTGCAGCCCTGCCCAGCCCAGCCCAGCCCAGCAGAACTGCACACTGCTCACCACCCTGCAGCCCTGCCCAGCCCAGCCCTGCCCAGCCCCAGCCCAGCCCCTGCAGAACTGCACACTGCTCACCTCCCTGCAGCCGGGCTCAGCACAGCCTCCCCTGCCTCCGAGCTGCTGCCCACTTGGCTCTTTCACCTTGGCCGTTCTCCCCTGCTTCATAGGTGCTAATATTTGCACCCCCAAACTGTGTTAGTAGGCCCTGTCCCTGAGCTCTGATCGCCAGTTGTGTGCCAGGAGCAGTCCGCTTCTCCTTGCTGGCTTCCACAGCCAGTGACACCTGCATGCACTTGCCATCCCCGCCCATCAGCCACTGCTCACACAGGTGCATGCCACACGCTCCGCCGCCGACCCAGCTGGCTCCCCTCCTCCAGGAGCCACCTGGCTCGCTGACGTCCTTCCTCCTCTCTCTGCGCCCTGCCACCAGAGCCACGTTTCTGGCGCGTCGTCTCGATTACTCATCACTAAAACTCTTAGGCCTGCCCTGTGCCGAGCTCCGCAGGATGAGCGTCAGGTTGGCGCGGCGTGTCAGGCCCTTTGCAGCCGGAGCCGGCGTGTCAGGCCCTTTGCAGCCGGAGCCGGCGTGTCAGGCCCTTTACAGTCAGAGCCAGGCTACTTTTTCAGTCCAGGACGTATGCAAGCAGACTCCTGTGACACAGTGGGACACAGTGGATCACCCACTTCTTGGGTGATTGATCCCAGTGCACTCTTAGTGCTCTGTGCACACTTCTCTACTACACGTCTGGTTTTTTCTTGTGTCCACAGTACCAAACGCCTTTGCCTTGCTAAGTGACCAGTAACCGCTAACAGAGCAAATGGGTGAACCAGCATTGGTTGAATAATCAGATAACAGAAGTCCTATGTAAGACTCCGCTGAACGGTGTATCCTAACCATGTAGGGCAGCACTTGGTGTGACGGCTGCTGACGGCTGGGCGTGGCAGGGTGCCCCATGACACCCTCAGACCAGCTCTTGCTGGGCAAAAGGCCGTGCTGAGGTAGAGCTGGGAGTGTAGAAAGGGCCCAAGACCGGAAATGAGGACGCGTGGTTTTGCCCTGGATCCAGGACCTGAGAGCTGTGTGGCTTTCAGCAAATCCCGCGGTTGTTCCCCACGAAGAGAACAGGCTGTGTGCTCTGGGGCTCTGTCGGGCTCGCTGAGTCTGTGACAAGCCGGGCAAGCCGGCCTGTCACTGAGAGCAAGACATCTAAACCGTAAACGGGAAGATGTCGTTTCTGCGAGGAGTGAGGGCTTTGGAGGGGAACAGCAGAGCCTCCTGGGCACGACGTCCGGGGCGCTGTGCTGCCGCAGGACGGGTGGGTTTTCTGTCCTGTCGCTTTAAGCGAGGTTTGCTTGAGGGGAAGAGGTAAGTTGTCCCGTGGAGCACCTCGAAAAAAGGCTCGTGCCAGTGCCGCGGACGTTGCGTGCGAGCAGCCCTGCTCACTGTCTCTTGTGCTTGCAGATCGAGATGGCGCAGAAGCTGCTGAACTCTGACCTGGGCGAGCTCATCAGCAAGATGAAGCTGGCCCAGCAGTACGTCATGACCAGCCTCCAGCAGGAGTACAAGAAGCAGATGCTGACGGCTGCCCACGCCCTGGCAGTGGACGCCAAGAACCTGCTCGACGTCATCGACCAAGCAAGACTGCGAGTGCTCGGGCAGACGAGGCCGCACTGAGCCGCCCGCCAGGAGCGCGTCCCCCTGCCCTCCCTGGAGGTGTTCTCGGCCTTCCACCAGCAGCGAGGAGTTCACCCCGTGTCCTCGGGCCCAGCATTCACGGCTCCAACCCTGGAAAGACAGCTGGTCGAAAGTCGTCTCTCCTAAGTTTAACCACGTTTTCATTTGGGTTTATTTTTTTTTAATCATGATATTCAGAAAAGTCCGGGATCCTAAAGTGTGGCATTTTTCTGAGAGTGGAAATTCTACATAAGAAGCTCTTAAGACTCGTGGAGAATGGCTTCTGTTCACCTTCGGATGTGTTTTAGTGGAACGGCCAGGGGTGGCGTGTGGACCTCCGGGCCACCTTCGCGGCCTGTGCAGAGCAGAGCGTGACCTGCAGAGTTCCGGGAACCGCGAGCTGAGGGCTCTGTGTCTGCGGGGGACATCACCAGACCGGAACTTCGCTTTGGTAGTGCCCCCTTCCGTTGCAACATGACCCCACCTTACAGAGAACACTAGAGCTCTATTTTGAAGACTTGAGTCGTTTCAGAAAAACTTCACCCTTTCTGAATTTCCGCCTTTCCTTTCATGTGAATATGTGAAGCTTTTGGTTGGACACTAGCTGTAGGACACAACTGAAAACTCGTCTTTTTCACCAGAATAATGTGCCAGTTTTTTGTAGCAATGTTGTTTCTCTTGAAAGCAGAAGTGCTTTATACCAGAGCGCCTCCAAACTGCATCGAAAGTTCCAGACCCATCCCTGTTTCCATTTTTATATAATTTATAAAGAAAAGATGAAAGCCATGTTGACTGTTCCGCAGCCACTGGAGCTCACTAACCCATCGTGTGTGTCTTCCCGGAGAATTACGCAGAGGGATTCGGGTTTCTTCAGATTCAGTTACACCTTCCATTCTGTTAAGTCACGTTGAAGAATGCGCCCTCCCTTTGGTGTGTTGGGGGATATAAATTATTCTCAGGAAGAATGTAACGAGCTGTACATTACTCAGCCTATTAAAGAGGTGTTACCGGTGAGCTGCTTGCGGCGGTGTTCTTGCGTCCGCCTCTCCCTTCGAGCTGTTGGAAATGGTTAGGTGGCTGCCAGGTGAAACAGCAGAGGAGCGCTCAGTGGTCGTTCCGTGTTCGCTTTGTCTTCCTGCCCAAACAGGACGGCCCAGCGTAGCCCCCTTCCCGTCCTGTCTGCACTGAGCAAGTGCAGAGCCATGAAGGAGAAATGGCGTCCGCCTCCCGGAGTTCTCACCCGCGGCGCGCTAGGGGAGCGTTTACGTGCAGTTCGCGTGTTAGGGTGTTGGGGGCATCCATCACCCAGACCCGCCCTGGTCTCACTGGAACCCCTGAGCTGCAGGGCTGGGAACTGTGAAAGAAGTCGGCCCTGGAGCAGGCTCCCCGGGGCGAGGCGGGGGTGGGAGGTCCAAGGGAGTGCTCTCTACGGATGCGTAGATTCCCTGTGTGCATAATCAGTGCCATCTCTGGGTAGACGACCCTGACCTCATCTAAAGAAGGTACCTCGGCATTGTCGACCTTCTGAGTTCTCTCTGGCGCCCTGGGGTCACTTGAGCCTGTTTGCTCATCTTTAAAGTGGCAATTGTGAATATTGAAGAAGTAGGGGCCGGCGCTGTGGCACAGCGGGTTAGTGCCCTGGCCTGAAGCGCCGGCATCCCATATGGGCACCGGTTCTAGTCCCGGCTGCTCCTCTCCCGATCCAGCTCTCTGCTGTGGCCTGGGAAAGCAGTGGAAGATGGCCCAGGTCATTGGGCCCCTGCACCCACGTGGGAGACCCAGAAGAAGCTCCTGGCTCCTGGCTTCAGGTCAGCACAGCTCCAGCCATTGCGGCCATGTGGGTAGTGAACCAGCAGATGGAAGACCTCTCTGTGTCTCTACCTCTCTCTGTAACTCTGTCTTTCAAATAAATAAAATAAATCTTAAAAAAAAAAAAAAAGATTAAGTCCAGCACCCGTGGTAAGGGGTTGGGGTCTGGGCGGCCTGTGCACCCGTGGTGAGGGGCTGGGGTCTGGGCGGCCTGTGCACCCGTGGTGAGGGGCTGGGGTCTGGGCGGCCTGTGCACCCGTGGTGAGGGGCTGGGGTCTGGGCGGCCTGTGCACCCGTGGTGAGGGGCTGGGGTCTGGGCGGCCTGTGCACCTGTGGTGAGGGGCTGGGGTCTGGGCGGCCTGTGCACTGTAGCTTGTTCATCCCTGGCTTCAGCGCACTGGACGCCGGCCCACCCCCTGTCCACCTGTGAGCCTGCAGCTGTGCAGGCACTGCCCGCCGTCCCTGGGAGGGCCTGGGAAGATGCCTCACGGCCAGCCTTTGTGGGAGAGCCTCACGCTGCTGTGTGGATAAAGAAGGTGCGTGTTTTGGTTGTGAGAGCGGGTGGAAAGGCAGAGGCTGCGTCCACGTATCGGCTGCAGGTGGCCAGGATGGCAGCTCTGCCCAGAGGGCCCGCAGGCCTGTCAGGAGGACCCTGGGGTGACTTTGTGGAGCAGAACAGAACTCATGTCTGTTAAGACCCGGGAGAAGTGTGCTTGAAACAAGCTTTCTACGGACTCCCTCAGTGAGCGGTGGCGGGTGGCTCCGAGGCCCGGAGAATCCCGGTCCCTGCGAAAAAACATTTCCCATGGACTTTTTCTTTTTAAAAAAATGTGTTTAGTTATCTGAAAGAGTTACACAGAGAGAAAAGGAAAGGCAGAGAGAGTGGTCTTCCATCTGCTGGTTCACTCCCTGATTAGCCGCAGCGGCCAGAGCTGAACTGGTCAGGAGCCACGCGCTTTCTCCGGGTCTGGACTTGGGCCATCTTCTCCTCTTCCCAGGCATAGCAGAGAGCTGGAGCGGAAGTGGAGCAGCCGGGGCTCAAGCCGTCGCCCATGTGAGATGCCGGCACCGCAGGCGGCGGCTCTACCCGCCATGCCGCACCAGCCCCTCCCTTGGACTTTAAACTGTGCCCAGATTTTTTTTTGGGGGTTGTTTTTAAGATTTATTTTATTTATTTAAAAGAGAGAGAAAAATGTTCTGTCTGCTGGTTGACTCCCCAAATGGTCACTCCTGGCCAGGCTGAAGCCAGGAGCTTCATCTGGGTCTCCCACGTGGGTGCAGGGGCCCAAGGACTCGGGCTGTTTTCCACTGCTTTCCCAGGCACCTTAGCAGGGAGCTGGATTAGAAGCAGAGTTCAAACCCATGTGGGATGCTGGCTTCACAGGCGGCAGCTTAACCCATTAGGCCAGAGTCAGCCCAGACTAGGTTTCTTTTCTTTTTTTTTCCCTCCCTCCCTCCCTCCCTTCCTTGCTTTTTTTTGACAGATAGAGTTAGACAGAGAGAAAGGTCTTCCTTCCGTTGGTTCACTTCCCAAATGGCCGCCATGGCTAGAGCTACACTGATCAGGAGTCAGGAGCCAGGTGCTTCTCCTGGTCTCCCACATGGGTCAGGCGCCCAAGCACTCGGGCCATCCTCCACTGCCCTCCCCGGGCCACAGCAGAGCTGGACTGGAAGAGAAGCAACTGGGACTAGAACACGCTGCCCATACGGGATGCTGGCACTGCAGGCGGAGGATTAACCAAGTGAGCCACGGTGCCAGCACCCGGACTAGGGTTCTTTTAGTACACGAAGTCAAGACTGCATAAATATCATTGGTACACTGTATTGTTTCGGAAGTACTTTTTTTTAAAAGTCTAAACGTGGGGCCGGCGCTGTGGCAGAGCAGGTAAAGCCACTGCCTGCAGTGTCGGCATCCCATATGGGCACCGGTTTGTGTCCCAGCTGCTCCACTTCCAATCCAGCTCTCTGTTATGGCCTGGGAAAGCAGTAGAAGATGGCCCAAGTCCTTGGACTGCTGTACCCATGTGGGAGACCAGGAAGAAGCTCCTGGCTCCTGGCTTCAGATCAGCTCAGCTGCCTTTCTGTATCTCTGCCTTTCAAATAAAATAAATCTTAAAAAAAAAAAAAGTTAAAAAAATAAAAAATAAAAAAAACCTTTAAAAAAAAAGTCTCTAAACGTTTGGTGTGCGTGCGGTTCTTTTTCCCTGTTTTCCATCCTTGATTCTTAGATCACTTGGGTAATAGTGACCCAATGATACCAAGCTTTATGTGCAGCCCTTGGCAACCTGTCCACATCAGGAGGGAGAGGTGACGCGTGGCTGTGAGCCCAGTCATGGTCTGACACTGTCTGCCTGCTAGCGGGTATTTTTTGTTCCAAGTTTATGTATTTGAAAGGTAGAAGAAAGCGCTTCCACCGAAGGCTCACCACAGCCGGGGCTGGGCGAAAATGCAGCTAGGAGCCAACAGCTCTGTAGGTCTCCCAGATGAATAGAAGCCACCCAAGGGTGCCGCCAGCAACTGCCGCCTCCCAGAACGTGCCCTAGCAGGAAACTAGATCAGAGCGGAGGGAGGACCCCGTCCAAGCACTGTGATAGGGGACACCAGTGCCCGGAGACAGGACTGAGTCCAGGCACTGTGATGGGGGCGCTGGTGTCTGAGGAGACAGGACTCAGTCCTACCTAGGCACTGTGATGGGGACACTGGTGCCCCAGGAGACAGGACTGAGTCCAGGCACTGTGATGGGGGCACTGGTGCCCCAGGAGACAGGACTGAGTCCAGGCACTGTGATGGGGGTGCTGGTGCCCCAGGAGACAGGACTCAGTCCAGGCACTGTGATGGGGGCACTGGTGTCTGAGGAGACAGGACTCAGTCCAGGCACTGTGATGGGGGCACTGGTGTCTGAGGAGACAGGACTGAGTCCAGGCACTGTGATGGGGGTGCTGGTGCCCCAGGAGACAGGACTCAGTCCAGGCACTGTGATGGGGGCGCTGGTGCCCCAGGAGACAGGACTCAGTCCAGGCACTGTGATGGGGGCGCTGGTGCCCCAGGAGACAGGACTGAGTCCAGGCACTGTGATGGGGGTGCTGGTGCCCCAGGAGACAGGACTCAGTCCAGGCACTGTGATGGGGGCGCTGGTGCCCCAGGAGACAGGACTGAGTCCAGGCACTGTGATGGGGGCACTGGTGCCCCAGGAGACAGGACTGAGTCCAGGCACTGTGATGGGGGCACCAGTGCCTGGAGACAGGACTTGAGTCCAGGCACTGTGATGGGGACACTGGTGCCCCAGGAGACAGGACTGAGTCCAGGCACTGTGATGGGGGCGCTGGTGCCCCAGGAGACAGGACTGAGTCCAGGCACTGTGATGGGGGTGCTGGTGCCCCAGGAGACAGGACTCAGTCCAGGCACTGTGATGGGGGCACCAGTGCCCGGAGACAGGACTGAGTCCAGGCACTGTGATGGGGGCACCAGTGCCCAGAGACAGGACTCAGTCCAGGCACTGTGGTGGGGGCGCTGGTGCCCCCAATGGCAGCTCCACCTCTGCATCACATTATCCTCCCCTGTGAAGTACTTTAAACAGGAGAGGACGCACGGAGTGAGGGCTCACTGAGTTTTCCACAAGGGCAGACTGTGTAGCTGCCATCCATTCAAAGAGAAAACTGGACCGTCACTCCCTCCCAGTTCTGGGCCCCAGGGGCGTCCAGCACCTGGCGGTCACTGTCAGCTACGCCGAGATCCAGTTACAGGCAGGCAGGCCCGTGAGGGGACAGCGGATGAACTTTTTCAAGTGTATCTGTGCGGTTAGCAGTGACTGAGACAAAGAACATTGTCATCACACAGGAACTCCCAGCCCGCCGAGGCAGCCTCGTTCTTTGTCCCCAGAGTTCGGGGTGTTTCTGGAAGCCTGCCGTCACTCCGACGTGGCTGCCTGTGGCAGGGTATTCTAGGGGCTGGCCTTGTACACAGTGGCCGACACACCACTTGAAATGCTCACATCCCATACTGAATACCGGCTTCGTGTCCTCACTGCACCTCAGATTACAGCTTCTTACCCATATGTACTCTTTTTAAAAACATATATAGGGGCTGGCGCCATGGCTCACTTGGTTAATCCTCTGCCTGCTGCACCGGCATCCCATATGGCGCCAGTTCAAGTCCTGGCTGCTCCCCTTCCAGTCCAGCTCTCTGCTGTGGCCCGGGAGGGCAGT